TTTTTTTTTTAAGGCCCTTATACAAGGCCACTATCCTGGTGGTGGTAAGAGAACCACCGGGATTGAGGCTTTGCCTGGCGGGCCGCTCCGTCTATTGGTGGGGAGCCTCACCTGCTGGGAACCAGGCCCAACAGGCCTAGCTCAGTTGCTACACCCATAAACTGTCGAAATGCGGACCTGAGCTCAAATTCCTATGGAACTAGATGAACGAAATTCCTGAATTACCTAGGGCCGGTCAGATTCACGATGATATCTCAAGTACGTCGTCCTTTCTTTAAAAAAAAAAAAAAAAAAAAAAAAGCCATCCACTCCTGGGTAAATTTCCTAGCCTATCTCCTACCCAAACACAAGCCTTTGTGTACCCGCCCATGGCAGGTCGGTCAGTCTCAAGCACATGTGGTGTTAACGAGGACCCCCACTTTCAGATCCTGAGTAACAGGTGAAATTAGGGTTTGGAGGTGAAATTTCATGGTTTTTTTTTTTTTTTTTTTGCCTGTTTTTGTCTTACTTCAAGGTGGTTGTGTACCAAATTTGGTCTCATTTGAAGCATTGGAATTTCCTCTGATAAGACCGTTTCCAAAAAACGCTGGAAATTCTGAAAATTCGCTGAAACAAAATTTCATTCAAGTGCACCTCATGTTTTTTTTTTTTTTTTTTTTGCCTGTTTTTGTCTTACTTCAAGGTTGTTGTGTACCAAATTTGGTCTCATTTAAAGCATTGGAATTTCTTCTGATAAGACCGTTTCCAAAAACGCTGAAAATTCTGAAAATTCGCTGAAACAAAATTTCATTCCAGTGCACTTTTGCCTTACTGTTTCACCCTGTTTTTTTCTTTTTTTTTCGTTTCTTTTTTTATGGTTTGTTAATATGGTGTGCACTCTATGGAATGATGCAAATTTTGGTTAAAAAGGCCTTCTGGTTTTCTTATAAATAGCATTAAAAAAACGCTGAAATTTTGGGTCTCCGTTAACCGCCTCTCAGCGATAATGGCTAGGCATCCCATTCAAGTGAAGACCCGTACCCATTCCATGGCTGGAATAATGGCCCCCTTCCTTTGCGTGTGCAATCAGCAGTAAATTGCCCCTTTGTTTTCGTGACTTGAACTTCTTATACATTTAGTTCGATTTAGAAAGAAAAAGCAAGAAACAACAAACACGGAAGTCGCAAACCTCTTTTCAGGAGTAATGGTATAGGGGGGGACGGTGTGAAGTGCCGCCGCTACAGGTGGCGGCGCTGCCGGTAGGAGTGGGAGGCCTACGGTCAGCGGTGGGAGCGTCACCTGTGATGTCGGTGTGTAAGCGCCTGTTCGCATGTGTGGGGGAGCTATGGAGATATCCTACGACTCGCGTGTGACTGTATGGCCAGCCATAGCCTGTGCTATGGCATTGGTACTTCCAGCTGCTTGAGCGGGCAGAGGCCAGCCCTACAGCCCTCCTCCTCCTATACACACCTACAGACACATCTTCAATGCTAGAATAATGATGACACGACTATCGACTGCTTTGGCAGCTTTGGGAGTACCTACACCGAAGTACATCTGGATGCTGGGGAGCCAGTGCTTTGGGGCTGCAGCATCATCGCAACCATGCCACCGAGAGTAGTCGGAGTAGCTTTTGGCGGCAATGGGAACGCTTGCGATGATGGTACTGCATCTGGATGTGTCTGGCTTCACTGTTAAATGTTAAACGGGAAGCTGATACCGGCACTATGCGAAGTGTATATGGATTCTCAGGCAACGTCGGGAAGAGCTATGGTCAACATTCAGAAGAGCTATGGGCAATATCAAGAGCAGCCAACCTCCGTCGTAGACAGGATCTGTAGAGACAGCTTCTCGCCACTCACTTGATATCAGGGTAGGGAAGAATGGTTTCATTTCGCGCACGAACTCAGAGTCACTTGATATCAGGGTAGGGAAGAATGGTTTCATTTCGCGNGTAGGGAAGAATGGTTTCATTTCGCGCACGAACTCAGAGTCACTTGATATCAGGGTAGGGAAGAATGGTTTCATTTCGCGCACGAACTCAGAGTCTGTCTTTGGTCGCATTTTAGGGTATGTTCATTTGCTAATATAAACTGTTGTTGGTTTCCCAAGCACTAAAACTTATATTGATTCTGTTTTCACGACCCCAACTCCTCTTCTCTTCATAAATTGAACCTGGCTGTATTCTAGGCCGCACTCATCTATGAAGTCTAAAGCGTTGAAACGATTGACCTCGTTGTTTCCTAGGTTGGTATGAACTCTGTTCCCGGTCATATTTTAGGGTATATTCATGTTCCAAAATATGTTGTTGTCAACTGAATTTCCCTGGCAGTAAATCTGATAGTAATTCGGTGTTCATGATCTCCTCTCTTCTTCTCCACACATACCGAACGTGGTCGGTTTTCCAAGGCCACATTCATTCATAAAGTCTAGAGAGTAGAATGTATCGACCTGGTCGCTTCCTAGGCCAGCGTTCTATCTGGATATTTTAAGTATAGAGCATATCAATATGCCTTGTGGTCGTGCTCGTGTGGTTGTTAACTTTGGTAGTGGAACTGTTTTCCTTTTTTGTTCAATAAGTAATTGGGTATTCCCACAAGTAATTTCACTATTTCTACTATGCACTTTGGTGGTGTTTGCTTTGGAATCCTGTGTTCTGCATCTGGTCATGTTTGTGGGCGAGATTCATTGAGCTGTTTATTCGTGCGGTTGTTAACTTTGGTAGTGGAACTGTTTTCCTTTGTCGTTCAATAAGTAATTGGGTATTTCCACAAGTAATTTCGCTATAATTTATATTATGCACTTTGGTGGTGTTTGCTTTGGAATCCTGTGTTCTGCATCTGGTCATGTTTGTGGGCGAGATTCGTTGAGCTGTTTATTCGTGAGGTTGTTAACTTTGGTAGTGGAACTGTTTTCCTTTTTCCTCCAATAAGTAATAGGGTATTTCCAGAAGTAATTTCGCTATTTCTGCTATGCACTTTCAATTGGCGGTGTTTGCTTTGGAATCCTGTGTTCTGCATCTGGTCATGTTTGGGGGCGAGATTCGTTGAACTGTTTAGAGCGTAGCATATAGTGACCTGGTCGTTTTTTAGGCCAGCCTTCATTCACATTGTCCCGAGCGTAGAAGTGTATGCCCTGTGGATTTTGTTTGTGCGGTTGTTACATAGTTAAACTGTTCCCCTCTTCCTTTTACGAGGAATGGGTTATTTTCTACTAGAAGTCTAGAAATAATTTCACAATTTCTGATATGCACTGGGGTAGTGATTGGGGCTAGATTCATGGAATGGTAGCTGCGGTAGATGAATCCTGTGCTTCGTGGATGGCTTCTAGTATGTGCGGTGGGAAATTTACTGTGGTTTAGGGTGAAACCAATGGTACTACCCTGAACCACGGTAAATTTCCCTGAACCACGGTAAACCTTGAACAGTGAGAGTTTAACAAGGGGCGGTG